TTTATTTTATTTTATTTTATTTTATTTTATTTTATTTTATTTTATTTAAGTAGCTTCTTTTCCTGGAAAGGTTGCAGTGCTAAGGAATTTAGAAAGTTAATACATAGTTTCTGTTTTAACAGAATAAGCTGTAATGCAGTACAAATGGCAATAAACAAATACATAAATGCATGTGTTCTTGTGTTGTAGGCATAATAGGAAATAAAGCATTCACAGACATTTTGCTTGATTTGCTGACCCTGAACTTTGGAACGAATAGCCTTCCCAGCAGCTGGAGTCACCTCACCCCACCTGATGTAAGCTTCTGCTTTCTTTGCGATCGAAAAGCCCCTAATGCCAACCTTACAATAGTCCTAACGTAACTGGTACTGACACAGTTTGAGGCACTATCGAGAAATCAAAGAAATTTAAATGACTGAGGTAAACCACATTATCAATGACCTAACATTGAAATATTTCAGACACTGGCCTAATTATGACCAGTTTACAACTACCTTGACAAGTAACAGTAGATGACTTTGAAAGTCCTTGATTTTCATCATAATCTCATTGTGAAAGTCCTAGGGAACTAAATAGTTAGCACATAACCTGTTAGTATCTTATATCCCTGGTCTTTAACCTTCCACTTGTAAAGATACAAGGTTAACTGACATGAGCAAATTGGATGAGTAACAGTAAACAAAAACCACGAATGCCAAAACAACAAAAAATTGAAATCTCTTCTAGTTATTGGCTGCTGTGGATCAGTTATTACTGGCTCTGCGAGACAATATGAAATCCTTCACTTGGAACCAAACTCTGAAAGCCTTAGGAGGAGTTAGTTACACCAACATTCCAGTGAGATTTCCTGTTTTCTTCCAGTTGCAGGAGATAACATCTTTATTAACAGTCAACTCAGAGTTCGTGGACTGGAGGAAGTTCTTGATGGTCGCAGCCATGCCATGGCCCATCCCGCTGGAGGAGGAGCTCCTGGAGACCCTGCAGAGGTTTAAGGCCATGGATGTAGCACAGACAGGCACCATCACCTTCGAACAGTATATGCAGGTAGACCAGCATACTTTTTCTTCACAGGTACCCAGCTAACTGATAGCACAACACATTTCAGGTCACTCTTATACTTCTTAAAAGCATATATATTTATGCAACACAGACAGAGTCAAAGTCCTGGGCAGAAGTTTGGCTTCCAACCACAGGGAAAGCATCAGAAAAATAAAATAAAGCCAAAATTTTCTGCAGAACTAAGTGTCCTTAATAAAGTCACAAAACCTTCATTACTCTTCTCCTGAGTTCTCAGCCAGTGGTTATTGCCCATGGCTGTATATTAAAACCATCATCAGAGTTATAAATAATCCACTTCTTGGTACCCTCTACCCCCAAGGATAGTAAGGGGAGTGGTGAAAAACACACCTGCAGGATGTTTCTGTTTTTTTGTTTGTTTTTGTTATTTTTTTTTTCTTTTGGAATGAGGAAGTTAGTGGATAGTGGGACTTTTTTTGACAGATTGAGTTTAAAATGTCTATAGATATGCAGGCAAAAATATCCCATCTGATAGCAGATCCATAGGCCATGGAAGTAGATGTTGAAAACATAAACAGGTGAAATCACCTATGGACAGTTGGTAACCCAGAACACAGTACCTGCTCATTGGACTTGGTGAGTGGAATATAACTGGGTCTGGTTATAGTACAGGATTTCTAGAATTTTTAGAAAGCCAGATTATAGATGATTATAGAAATTAGTTTTTCATTAGGAAGAAAGTGGAGATAGATGATAGGTTGATAGATAGATAGATAGATAGATAGATAGATAGATAGATAGATAGACCAAATCAAATATGTGAAATTTAATCTGTTTTTGAGAATTTTGAATGTTATGATTGACAATGAAATTTCTCGGATAAGGGTGCTTGAATTACTTGTTTCATCTGTTAACTGAATGTGATTTGTTCACCTTTTGATATCACGAGACACAACAAGGATGGAATCACTTATAGGGCCCTAACTTTGAAGAAGGGTGGTTGTCTGTAGGGATTTATCTTCCATGTTTCATCACTGAAAGCTTACAGAGCTTCCTATCTTGTCTTGTTTAAAATTAATAGGTGGCATCGTTTTTCTTAGATAACCTAGGGGTTCCTGTCTCACATATAGAACTAAATGAAGAAACACTTGAATCCTAATGAGTTTCTTTTTGGCTGAGCAAGATGCTAGTTTGGCTAATTGAGTTCTGATGTACGTACTTCTCCAACAGCAAATTAGGAATGTTGACACTTGTTGAAGGAATCTCTTGTGTATTGTATGGATGCATTGCCTGTCAATTATTAAAAAAAAAAAAAAAAAACATGAACAGCCTATTGCTGAGGAAGGAAATAGGAGGTGGGACATCTAGAAGACAGAAAGGATTCTGGGATAGAACTAGGCATGGGAAATTCGCCCATGAAGACATGAAGGGCAGATGTGTGGTACCTGAGCAGAGGTAATCAGCCACGTGGCAGAATGTAGATTAGTATAAATGAGTTGTTTTAAGTTATTTAAGTTAAGTTATGAGCTAGTCAGAGAAGGGCCTAGCTATATGGCCTAGGTATTTGTAAATATATATTTTGAGTCTCATGAATCATTATTTCAGACACATGGGACTAGAAAGAAAAATCACCACAACAGCCACTGCTGACAATTCATTATGACTTTATTTGAAAATGAAAGCAACAGAACAAAACTTATACAGTGTCCAGATGGCTTAAGATTTTTAAGGAGTGAAAATTTGAGCAAACCTAGGATAAGTTGTGATTGACACAGGTTGTAAAATTGAACCTCTTTTACATTTCCAAAAATGCTGATCCAAAACTAGAATCATCCTTTACCAAAAGTGTAAGTTTTTTAAAGAATGCTAGACCAGATGCATTTAGGAGCACTGAAGTACTCATATGATTGCTGTCTGTGTTTTGAGAATTGTTGATTGTCTCCCTTTGCTTCCTGCTCCCAGATGTCCCAGAACATTGAATGTGTACTTGACTTTACTACATGCTTTTTTCAGATTTCTAACACTTGATGGCTCTCTCTCTCTCTCTCTCTCTCTCACACACACACACACACACTGATGTTTCATGGGGGAAAAATTAAAGTCATTTCTAGAAGAAATTTTATGTGATCTATTAAATATGTTACATTAGACCAGTAAAATAACATAACTGTGGTGCTGGAATCCAGTTTTCTGAGAAGAAAGAGCTGTCTTTTTGTTGGTCTACCCTTCTCCTTTGACTATTTGCAACTTCACTACAATAGCCATTTAGTCATGTGCCTATTCCTGCAACTCCTAAAATTTGTTCCGAATCTGATCCATGGTTATGTAATGAGTATAAAGTCTTATTTGCCTTTTGCTTCTTGGACCTGCTGCCACTAGCCAAATTGTCCTATGCCTATGTAGAGGTATACTCAGACTATAGAATTGTATAATGTAGAAATGAACAAACAGAATTGATTTTATACTTTTAAAGCACCAACTCATTTTTTACCTATGAGAATGTAAGTTTCCCATGGACTCAATCATTCAGATGCTCTAGGACCAAAATAAACATAGTAAAACTTCTCTAAAGAAACACAAATAGTGTAAAATTCTTTGGTCAAGTTTTAGTATAAGAACACAAAGAATTTTTTGATGTTTTAAAGAGAAATCACCTATTAATCCCATAAGGCAATACACAGTTAACTGAATGTTGCTTCTCAATTTAAGCACATTACAACATAGCTGCATATTTCATATCACTACAATTTTATTCAAGTTATTTGTATTGTTTTTTCTCTGTTGTGTCTTCAAGTTCATTGGCATTTCCTCCACAGAGTACCTTGCTAATAATATCATAGAGCATATTTTCTTGTCAGATACAGTATTTTTTTAATTTCTGTTAGTTGTGAAGAGTCTCCTTTTCATTGTAGAAAAAAATGCTTCTCTTCTGCAGGAAACCCAAAGCTACCACTATAATTGGCAAAAGTGCTATAATTCTTGGAAGGAAGTAAAGAAGGTGTTAAGCATAGGCCTGAACCAAGTCAGGCAACCTAGCGAATCCTGCTAGTAGATAGTGTTAAGCACTGGTTGTCACTCTGGAAGACAACCTCCTTACAACATTGTGTTTGTGTGTGTGTGTGTGTGTGTGTGTGTGTGTGTGTGTGTGTGTGCTTACCAGATATAAAACTCAAGCTTCTCAAGATATAATCTTTCAACTCAACTATTTATGCAGGGTGACAAATGACAGGCATGAATAATAACTCAAAAGAAATGGCAGAAGTGCCAAGGTTGTACTATAGTCAGGGCAAGATGGTGCTTAAAGGAAATAGAGATTAAAGGAGTCTCTCTGTGCTAGTGTAATCTATGTCTGGTCTAGAAATAAATATTAATCTGTATGAGTGAAACAGAATCTAGAAGTCACCTTAGGCACAGATGATAATGGTAAATGCCACAGTCTGCAGCTAATCTCTCTCTCTGCTTTGGCAAGGATCCGGAGTCTAGGGTCCAGGGTAGGATATGGGACAAGATGCAGATCCCCTGTTTGGTGGCTCAGGCAACCAATAACAGAGGAAATTTAAAGAAAAATAAATGGGGCGGGGGGAAACCTAGGACTCCTTCTCTAGGTCTAGGAACTGGCTGCACTGCTGCTATGGAGAAAAACCCAAACCCTTCACCATTATTCCTGTAGCCAGAACTGTAAGGTTTCTAGTCAAACCTGCAAGGGATTGTAAAAAAGGTTCTTTGATCTAAGATTAACTCCTGTTCAGGAGCAGGGTACTGTGGAGGCCTCCGCAGGATAAAGTAAACTTTTCCCTGCTTATCTTAGGCAGATAGTTGGATCCTGAATCTGCTAAAGAAAAAGAAAAGAGGAAAGTAAGCAAAGACCATTCATGTACACATGATCAAGGAACAGGAAGAGGAAGTTAAAAACTTCAACTTCAACAAGTTTCCACAAGTTTACATGTGACAATGATGTTGCTTTCTGTTAGCAGCTCCTCTACAGAAAATGCAGCAAGTTTAGGCTACTAGCCCTGTAGTATCAGCTCATATGGACACATATACAAATAATAAGTCATATTAATAATATTAATAATATTAATAATAAGTCATATTAATAAGTCATGTACATATTCATACACGCATTCAATGGACGATACAGAAGTAGCTCCTTACACACATACAATTGACATATACTCATGCAACATATGTACAAAAACAGACAGATGGAAATATTTACATGTAAACACATATCTGTATACATAGTTACAACTCATGGATGAAGCAATTTCCAGCAGGCTTCCACCACCTGGCTTCTGCCAACAGGATTCTGTCAAAGTTTATTGTATGGTCATAGCTCTATACCTCTGAGACAAAGATCCCAGAAAAAGAATTACCTCATAGTCAAAAAGGTAATTAATCACAAAAATAGATGAATTCTAAAATATAACAGGTTACATGTTTTAAAACTAAACATTTCTTATCTATGTATCCATTATATAAGTTCATAGTGAGTTCAGAGAGACAAAGTTTGACAAGGCCTAAAGGTTGACAGGGTCTAAAAGTTACAAGAATATATGTCTTTTTTCTTTTCAACTATGACTGACGTGGCTACACATTTTCCAGCTATTTCTTAGTTTATAGTGAGTTCAGTACAATAATTTTATCTGTCTTTCATGCTAAGAAACAAAATAAATTTAAACTGACAGTATATAAGGCCATAAGGTGACAAAGTATAAGGAATTACAACAGAATAGTTTGTATATATTTTGACATTAAGGTTTGTACTTAATTAGGCATTGTTTGGTGGTCTGAGTATAATTTGGGTTCATGGGAAGTTTAAACCAACTTGCCTATATTTATAGCGTATACTAGGATTCGTAAATGAAGACTATCTGAGGCTACAAATATGCCATAAGCCTGTCTCCTAGTGAGGCATATGGAGGTTCCTAAAGGTATTTATTGCAGCCATAAACTTTCTAAAATTGTTTATGAAGTTCTAAAACAATTTAACTTTAAAGTTGTTGAATCAAATCATGAATTCCCTAATCAGGAATGAGTTCGTCTGAACAACAGTACATCTTCAATAAGATCTCATAGGAAGTTTGTCCAATCAGAGTGGGTAAATACCCAGAAAGTGACTATTTATACCCTACCAGATTTTAGAGAGATGCAGCAGTGCAAAAATGACAGGGTTGTCAGAGATTTGAAGCAATTCTGGGGTGCATCATGGTATAGATCTTACAAAATACCAGATCTACTTCCAGAAGGCCCACCTCTCTAATGATCTCATTTAATGGCTCCTGACAGAATGATATGACCTGAAGACCAAGATCAAACACTGGATCTGAGCAGAGAACAGTGTAGCAACATTGAAAGTCCGGGCAATTCTATAGAATCACATTTTAACAAAAATCTGAAACAAGAGGAAGACTAGAAACAAACTTTTAAGTTTACTGAGTGGCTGGTGTATGGCAGAGGTCATATGGCTCTATAACAAGGTAGTAGCACTGGAAATGGAAAGAAAGAAAAGATGGTGGAAGCATTGCCAAATAGGAAAAGGAAGAAACTTAGATGATATGATCAGAATATGGGAAATGAGAGCTCCTGTTATCAACAACAGACTCCTCCAAAGTATAGTCAGTAGGTGCTTAAGCTACAGTAGTAACTGCCAAATGACTTTTATACTTCAAACACTAAAACATAGCTAACACCCCTACTCTGTTGACTTTTATTTCTGTATCACATGTGGGTACACAGCACTAACACATACTTTACCACATATGAAAATAAAAATAATGAAAGGACGACATTAAAAGAAATGTAAATGCAAATCTAGTATTTTATCCAGACTCTCTGTGTATACTCTACCCTATATTTCAGAGACCACTGGGTAGAAAGTAAAACAGTATTGTTTTCATCTTTGGCTTTAAGAGGAACTGTTACACCTCTGCACAATATGTTGAGGATTTTCATTCTTTTTTTTTTTTCTGTGTGTGTGTGTGTTGTCTGTAGGCTGGTCTGTGGTTTACAGGAGATGAAGATGTAAAAATTCCAGAAAATCCCCTCGAACCCTTGCCATTCAATAGGCACGATCATCTTATAAAGGTAATTAATAAGATTATTATTATTATTGTTATTATTGATTTTTTGATATTATTATCATTCTGTAATTCAGGCTGGTGCCTAGAACATACAGCATTCTTGACCCAGTATCATCCTTTCAAGTACTGTGATTACACATGGAAACTCAAACTCATGCTGACCATGAATAATTTTTATGCAGTATGTGGCAATGGTTATTTTATTTCTGTTCTTCCACTTGAGCTGATGAGTCTCCCCTGATTCTGTTCTTGCTTCTTAGATCCTTTGTTGTTTCCCCAAAGTCCAAACTTTTTTTTTGACAATGTAAGAAATCACATTTTATTGCTTCCACAGATCTCCCACATGCATGGGTAATGCAGATCTACTTTTTAATTATTTTATTATTATCATTTATTATAATTTATTCAATTTATATCCCAGCTATGGCCCCCTCCATCTCTTCCCAACCCCACCCTTCTCCCCTTATACCACTCCCATTTACAATAGCCACTAATAACATAAAATACCTTGGTGTGACTCTAACCAAGCAAGTGAAAGACCTGTATAAAAAAACTTCAAGTCTATAAAGAAAGAAATTGAAAAAGATATCAAAGTCCAAACTTTAATATTCATTCAGGGAACCATTCTTTGTAGAGAAATTCTAGGGGAGGGGACAGACCAAAATCTTCTGTTACCAATATAATTACTGGAAATGTCCAGGGACTCTCTTGAATTTCAGATTTCTTTTCATATTTAATATTCAATCCTTCCAATAATAAAATTCATCAACATCTTCTAATTCTAAAACTGTGGTAAAAAATTCTGTCATTCTACAAGTATTTGTTCCATCTACTTCCTTTCATTTTGTTAAACCCAGCAAGATTTACATGAAATATTACCCATCTCCATAAGTAGTTTGCTATCCTCAGTATCAATAATAGCAGTATCTGGGAGGCCACAATAGAAGCAGAACTTTAAAATCTGAAAGTCATTCTATATAAATGATTAAATATATGTGTGTGTGTATGTGTGTGTTTGTATGTATGTATGTATGTACCCAAGCATAACCACATGTGGTAATACAGTAGAAAACCTGAGTTGTAAATTTAGACATCACAGCTAATTCTGTATAATATATTTATGGTTCTGTTTCTATTTAGTCATTAGCTCAAAACGGAAGTTCAAATTTGGATAAAACACCTTTATAACATTTAAGTTGAAGGAGCAGCCAGGTGGTTACCGGCAAGGTCTGAGATATGTGGTTGGCATTTGGGGTTAATGGTTGTTTGTTGATACTTTTAATGTGGAGGGTTGAGATAAATTATCCCATAATCCATTTCTTTCTTTGGGACAAAGGTATCAGTATGTAGCCCTAGCTGGCCGGAAACTCCATATGTAGACTGGGGTGCCTTTGAACTCACAGACATCTGCCTGCCTCTTCAGGGCATTGCTGCCACCCTTGTCTTCATATATAGCTCTCAGAAGGTAGTTTCCATATGATTTTAGGAGCACATCTTCCAGTAATATGAATAGGTTCCTCAGTCCTTGGGGACAAATCGTCTACTTGATGATCATGCCACATAGAAAATATATCAATCCAGGACCAGGTTTGTAGCTGTTTATCCAGTAGTGAAACAGGAAATGGCTTTAGGTACATAGAAAAGTATGGCTTTAACCTACTGGCAGATAACTATATGGAGGAAAGGAGGCAGACTGCAGAATCTGAGGAAGAGATAGTTGCATGAGCAAAGATGAGTGGCAGGGTAGGTGGGTACACACGTGCATATATGTTGTGTGGTGTCCACAGGACAGAAAAGATGAGCAGAGTGAAGTTTTCACGCATGCACACGCACATGCACATACGGACACATACGTATGCACACACACCACACCCAACCTTGGGGATTCTCAGCATCACTCTGAACATCTGAGGGATCATAAAATGCAACCAAACACTACTTGCTCCTCTTAAACTGTGAGGTCCCCACCACACTACTTACATCCCCCATACTATGGGGTTTTGTTGTTTGCTTGCTTGCTTTTTATGTCACTTTTTACCCATTGACAGTTACATAGATAAATATATGTATTTATACATATATAATAAATAAAAGTATTTCCAGCCTTTATTATCCAGTCTCATATTCCTCCCTTCTCCCTACTGAAACCCTTTTCTTCCCAACAAGTCACCCTCTTCCCTCTTACTTTTGTCTTTTTGAATAAGTGACCCACAGAATTTAAATAGGGTTGCCTGTACGAGCACGGACGGGTGGACACTTACTGGAGCATGGGCAGTTTACATAATTATACCACTGAAGAAACTGCCACGCCTCCCTGTCACCATGAAATGATCAAATGTTAATAAGCGATGGGTAGGGACTCAGGAGGCTCTGCCCCTTCCTTCTGTGGTGAGATGTTGATGGGCCATCTTGTGCAGCTAACCACTGCACTAAGTTCAGTACCGCATCAGTGTTGTGTCTAGCAGACACTGTTTCTCAAGGCTGGCATCTTCTTACTAGTTGTATTTTAAAGACTTTAAAAGTCCATGCATAGTGCATTAAGGTACTCAATAAGCATTTGTTGAATGACCTAAGCAGTGGATCTGTCTTCATGGTCATGTCATATAGCCACTACCACAGAGTTAGTGGCCTGATAAAATGGCCACTTGCTGTCTCACACTTGTGTAAATCTAGGTAAAGCTCATCTGGAGTCTCTATGTAGGTAGGTAGGCCTGCCTACCTCCTAACTGCCACAGTGAACCCATTTTATGTGCATTTACAAATTGTATGTCTGACAGTTCTTCTTTAGGCTGTTTGCTGACTTTGAGAAAGATCCACCTCAGCTCGACTACACTCAGATGTTGCTGTATTTTGCATGCCACCCGGACACTCTGGAAGGGGTCTACAGGGCTCTCAGTGTGGCTGTGGGGACTCACATCTTCCAGCCGATTGAAACACCTATGCTGACTGCAGAAAAGGTAACTACATGGCACAAACACAACAACTGTGTATTCTGGGTGGAAGCGAGGATGCCAGAAGGAGGATGCCAGAAGAATTGAAACTCGTGACAGCAGGCACTCACTTCTCTTCACCATATTTTTCTGGGTCTTCAACACAGTGCTTTACATGTACCTGGTCTTCCAGCAAACCTTCCTCAATTTAATAAGAGTCAGGGAACTCAAAGCCCTCCACTTCTGTAGTAAAATTAACATCCCTTCAAAGTCCCTCAGTAGGATTGAAGTCTGCTCTACATGCAGCAGACTAGACTGGGTTTTGCAACAAGTACTCATCATGAGACACAAAAATGAAGTGGATTATTAAACCTGATCCATGCATTTTAGAGTATGTGAAAACTGTATCTGAAGTAAGCTCAGACCTGGCACACTACCCACATGAATATGTGGACACAGTGGGAGGGGGCTGTTGTCCAGACCCTCCAGGGTCTCAGCCATTCCTATTGCCTTTTCACATGTATCTGTCAAAATAGAGATAATCAGGAAGAAATGAGAGAGTTCCCGGACAGCATTCACTTGTAGGAAGAGAGAGGCTCTAGTAGATTTGAACCTGAAGTTTGTCCATAAGCACCAGACTAGAGTGAGGACAGACTGGTACCCCATAAGCTGACATGGGGATCTTCAGATGCATAAGCTGTAGCTAATGATTCAACATATATGTGGTAGGTATCAAATATACAAGTAAGGAGTATTGGGTTTTTTCTGCAATAGAAAGCCACTTCAGAATTTTCCCACATAATTAACTTAGATATAGCCAGCTCTCCTTGGGTGGGCATTTGGCCCTCTCATGGTGATGTCTCCATATCCCCATATAGATTGTGCTTCCCTTAAATTAATACTGGATTTACGACTAATCCTACATTACAGCCTGGCCCGAGGTCTTGGTGCAATGGCTGTCCCAGGGTCAGAGAATTTCCCTGATCTCGGATGATGGCTGCACTTCTCTGTCCCACCTGTCCCCTCTGGTACCTACATTGCTTACACAGTAACTTCCATGAAGGCACCTTCTACTCTGGATTCTGCAGACTGAAGCCAGTGTGTTAGTTGCCAGTAGGTACCAGCCCTTGCTCTGCGTCCTCAGACTTAGAGCAAGTTCTGGAAAGGAGGTTGACAACGCTGGACTGAAATTCTTCGATTTCGTAAATCAAGCTCGTTGCTTAGCCTCAGGTCTCTGATAGATTAAAAGACAATTTTTTCTCTTCTGAAGGGATGCCATCTAGTTGCCTAATCTATGCCCTAAGAAACAAAACAATGATGTTCCAAACAGGGAGGTAATAGAATATATACATATATAGGGAGGTAATATATATGTTTATACACATATATTCTTATTTATAACATACAAACATATATTTAGTTGAAAATATATTTTAATGCAATATATTCTGATTATGGTTTCCCTTCCCCTAACTCCTCTGAGATCCTCCCCACTTATCCACCCACGCAAATATACACCTTCTCTTTCTAATAATAATAATAATAATAATAATAAAGCTAAAATTAAAAAAAATGAAGAAAAAGAACCAAGAAAAGCACAAAAAGCACACATACACACATATTATCACACACAAAAATACCACAAAAACACAAAATTGCAACCCAAAATACATGTGCAAAGGACCTGTAAGTTTTAAGCCCTGACAAAGTATAAGACAAAACAAAAAAACAACAACAAAAAAAAAAACTCCAAAGATACCGCTGAGTTTGTTTTGTGTTGGCCGTCACTGCTGGGCATGGGGCACCTGGCCCCAAGAGAATTTTATTTATATGCAATGAGGCTCTGTTGGAGAAAACTAATTGTTCATTTGTGAGCAGTCATCAATGGTAGATAACTTCTGAATGAAGGATGAAGGCTCCTGTCTCCCTTCCTTCTTAGCTCTGCAACCCCACTAGGCTGGGCTCTGTTCATCCATTGACTCCTGTGGCCAGATTATCTTCCTCTGGAGTCTAGGTCAAGTTGGAACCTGTCGCATGCTTTCCAAAGTATCTGCACAGAGCAAATGCTCATGCTTGTGAATAGAGCTGAAAAAGAAGGGGTGCAGTGGTGGAAGAAACAAAGGCTCAGCTGTTGGAGAAAGGATACAAGGAGAGGAGCAAGTAATTCTTCCCAGAGTAAGAAAGAGCAAAGACTGAGAGGCCGTGCCAAAGCCATCGCTATATGTTGTAGATTATCAATATTTATTATTGATTTATCTTTTAGTTAAACAGTGGTTATTCTGTATATCCAAATCACCACACAGAAACTAAGATTTATTTAATTAACCTAGAACACAATGCTGGGCAATAGTTACTCCATCCTAAACCTCCAAGCCCACAGTTTCCTACCATTCAGATTTCACCCATTATACTTGCTTTTAGTCATATCTTAGGTACAGTTCATCTCTCCTCATGGTTCCAAGTCCTTTCCTGCTGATCTACCTCTCCATTTCCTCCCACTCACTCCCTTCTCCTCCCATCTGGACCAGGATGTCCCACCCTAGTCTTTCCATTGCTCAGTACTGGCTGGTTGTTTAATTGACAATTACAGAGAACAAATGGTGGCATGTTTACACAAACTAGAGACAAGTGATGCTTAGAATAAGCATCACAATGCAATGACCTGATTGAAACCAGATAGTGGGGGAGAGCAATCAGCATTTGAATGGACAAGGGTAAATTGTATCCTTTCCACAAGAACATTGTACCAACAGCTACAACAGGCAACCACTGTGGTGTGTGGCTCCAAGCCACCTGGAATAGGTGTTCTGTCTTCCCGGTGTCCCTGACTTGCTCACTACCTCTTGTTAGTGTCCACATGCAGGAAGCACAAGGACATTGTCCAGAAACTGGACAACTATTAGGCAGCAGAGATCAAGGAGGGATCTCTGAGGAGGGTGGGGTATGTCTCTCTTCAGCCTTCGGGGACTGTTCAGACTTGGACTGAACTCTAAGCACTTCAGAAACACAAGAGCTGCCCACCTTACTCATTCCCACAGAATAGCATTTTATGCCCAATTATGCCACTCCATTACTGAGTCCTTTCTGACTGTTCTAGTTTCTTGGGCAACCTCATCCCAGGAGTCTGCAAAGACCTCACTCAGAAATAACACCTCCGACCAATCTCTATGCCCTCTCAAGGCACTCAATCATATCTCTGCCTTTGCCTTCTCCCTATGTTATTATGATAACTGAAAATCCTCTTATATTTCTCCCCCTTCTGTATCTTTGCTGCCATGCTGCTTTTATTCAATGTGGCTCAGACCTTCTACAGAAAGCCATGTCTTCTTCAGTAATTTATAAAAAGCCCAAGAGCAAAGGCACTTATCAAGAATGTACTGGTTTTAGTGACTGTAATCCTTAAGTAAGTGAAATTTTAAGGAAATAGCTAATTCTGAAACCCCTGTGGTAGGAAACAGTGATGTTACATTCTAGTAAATTGTTAGCTTGCAACTCCCACATATTTGAGGCCTTATTTAACCCTCTTGGCAGCATGTTTGAGACCCTGGAGTTCAAAGCATATGCGATTCTATTTATTCTTTGGTCCTCTGCTTTACTTCTCAGAACCAACATTCTACTTTGTGTTAGGAGATCCGGCCCGAGCAGAAATGATAACAGAAATGCACTATTGGGGAGATGCACATGGCGGGGACAGACTTCCTGTCAGGCTTTGCCATCAGTCTCTGTGGCTCAGGGCAGTGCAGCACAGGGCCCAAGGGTTCCTTTGTGCCCCTGCTGAAAGGCCATGTGTCTCTCTGCCTTGATGCCACCGCGAATTATTCAAAAGCACTGGCTTTTCTTCCGGCCACCACGGCTGTTTTCTCTCTCCGGTATTTGTTAAAGTGAACCCTCTTTTTGCGTAAGCCTTTTATTCCTCCCAAAACACCAATGCTGTCCTTCTTGTTTCTCTTACATTTTGGCCATCGTATGCATTACAAGTCCCAAAGGGCAAAGGCAACAGGTACTTTAAAAAATTAAAAAACAAAACAACAACAACAACAAAACCTCTGACATTAGTAAGTTAGGAACCACCTATCCTAAAATGTTGCCTACTTAAATTGTTAGATTTTAGATCAAAAATTTTTAATTCCACGATGCATGTGTAGGGTCTTTAAAAAGGAAGTGCTTCCCTAGTTCTCTGCAAACAGTGGCAGAGAAACCAGATTTTCCTAACTTTGAAACTGCTTATCCAACCAAATAGTGATTTGCCCACCCACAGGTCTGTGGGCCACAGCATCTGTGCTACATTCTGTGCTAGCATGCATTCATTCTGCACCCACTCTGCAAGACATTTTATGTCCTCTCTACATTCATCTTACCATAGCAAAGGTTTTACTGACCCAGGAACCTATTAATGAGTAATAAAGAAGTAATCACCAAGAATCCAAGGTGAAGAGATGACCACCTATTTCCTACTTCAAACGTGGAGCTTTTTAATTGTTGTGAGTGGAAAAGAGGTGAAAATGTATGTTTTACTAAGTGCGTAATATATTACCAAATATTCAGTAGTTGTAACCACCTTTTCAAATTTTAATTAAATTCCCTATTTAGTAAAAGATATAAACTCCCAGCAAAGGCAAAGTGACGTCCCCAAGCTAAATCAATTGCACCTCATCTTCTCAACACTGGTAACAGTCCCTCGATGGGTACACATATCTACCATAGGCTTAACTTAGTGCCCTCATACTGTCATGTATGACATGTCACATTTGTTTACGAAGCACTTATCTAACAACTAATGAATCAACTGAATTGTGTATTTAATGATATCAGCACTCTCCTAAATTATCAGTTCTCCTTCCTAGTGGTAAAGGAAAATCAAAATCCACATGATCTCAGATTTCTGGCCAACTAAAATTACAAACTGTTCCTTTCTCTATGCTGAACAAGTAAAGATCGATTATTTTATCATTAAAAAAAAAACACATGTGTGACCCTATACATACAAATTTACTGCAGAAAATTTAAAGAATATGGAAATCACTAGCTTAACCTCCACTGGTGACTGGTATTGACACTTAATATAATGTGTCCTTTATTTGATGATAGTTGGTCGAATAACAAAATATTGATTCTGGTGTATCTGTTACTATGTTTTCTGGGAATTTTTTATGAACTTACTCTGTGAATACATTCTTGTTAGGCTGGGTATTATTCCAAAGCATAATTTTTGTAACAGAATTAATCTAATCACAATACTATAATTTCTCTCAGTATTCATCGACTTTGGGAATTATAAGTCATCTATTTTTATTATAACACTAAATTCTCTTCCATATTCAAAACTTTTTGTGTCCATAAATATTTATTCAGGATCATTCTTAGATATAACTATGGGCTCGAGAAGTACAATTAGTGTTATGGCTTTTGACATATAAGATATTGTTTCAGAAACATCATCATCTTAAATGAGAGCAACTGGATTCATATCAAATGAGAGCAACTGGATTCATATCCCTCAACTAAATTTTGAAAAGCATCCGTAATAATACCAACCTTACTGGGAAATCAGCTTGCCACAACCTCAACTGAAGTCAGTTTCAAAAGGCAATACTGTCAAATGCAAAGTCAGGGACCATTTACACTTTACTTCTTTGTACCCTTCTGGAGGGATTTTGTGTAGCTGGTAGTAGTAAGCAATAGTAAGTAGTAAGCAGAGGGGTTGAGATGAATGGGATACACCCCACACCGAGACTTCTGGACACTATAAGCTAAGCTGCTCTTGGATTTTGACACTGGTTTTGAAGGTAGCCAGTGCATTTTTTTCTATAATTTGTTTAATGGCTTTTGTAATAAGTACTGGCCTTCATTTCCACAGTCCTTATCTAGTGAATGGGTTGAGAAAAATGTGTCTATTGCTGGAAGCACTTCAGTCTGACCTCATGCTGTTGTCACTTAATTGACAGATCTCCATCTCCACTGTGAGTCCCATTGAAGAGTTTCCTGAGGCTGAGGATGTTACTAGAGAAGAGAGGGAACTGAAAGAGGAGAAAGATGAGAGAGACCAAAAGGAAGAAGAAATCCCTGAAAACATAAACACTGAAAAGATTTCCATGGAAACACTGCTCAAAGTGTTTGGAGGAGGAATCGAAGCGCTGGATGCTAACAGATTTGCCAGCTCCCTAAAGACAGAGAATATTTATACAGAGGTTGGTTTGACTGTTTACATGGAATTGCTCCAAAAGTGTATTGTATTGTGGAGAACTTATGGTGAATTACTTTATGTATGAATCCACTTTAAAATAACAAGGTAAATTAACTTTACTTTTGTTTTTCTTTGAAGAACTTCATAAAGACTTTTCATGACCTGGGTTCCAGGAACCTGGAGCCAGTTGAAGTTAATATTCTTTTGAAGCATCCTTTCATTCAGGACCTGATTGCAAATTATTTAGACTATAAACTTCCTGTGAGTATGAGTCAAAATTATCCTAACTTGGGTGGTCCCAGATAAGGGCATGTCTGGCATTCCTACTGTGAACTATTAAAGAGTGAGGGTAAGCTGGACTTGTGCAGATTAGCCAGCCTGCAGTGCCCAAGAGTATCACACTACTGCACAGTTGGGGCGATTCTCAGTATTATAGATTTACAGCTTCAGTACTTGCTGCTACCTTGGTTCTACAACAGAGGGCTGGGGGTAGGTTAGAGCTAAAGCTCATCATATGAACTAGTATGAATCTGAATTGTTCTAGCCAAATAATGATGTTTATCTACACCAGAAAAGTATAGAGACTAGGACTCCTTCTACTGAAAAGAACTAAGATTCTAGTCTCCATCCAAGTGCTGATAGAGTCACCATTTATTCCTAATGTGGTACATATGAGAATGTATTACTTTGCTTTTAATTGCTGATAAAGCACCTTGATCAAAAGGGAGAAAAGAGTTTATTTGGTTTAGAGATTATAGTCAGTCATCAGAGGAGGCCATGGAAGGAACACAAGGTAGGAACCTGGAGGCGGGAACTTTACAAAATCAGTGGAGTGATACTACTTACCAGTTTGTTCTTGTGGCTCACCTGGCTTGACTTTTTATCTAACCCAGGAATGCCTACACCAAAGTACTTAGCTGTCCTTTTTTTTTAAAGTGGAGTTAACAATTATTTCTGTGTGAAATGTTTTGGTAAAGATTAAATGACATAATGCACAGAAAACATGAAAAGGATTCTAAGAATTGTGTTCAATCTTGAGCTTTCACCACTGAGTTCAGTAGCATAAGCTCCCATGGAGGAGAAAGAAATGGGTATAAACTGCTTCCCCCGACAAAAGTTCCACTTATGTTTACAGTATAATGTTTGCATACAAGAATTACAAAAGAATGGCGTAATGTAAATCAACCAAATACAAAACTATAAATATGCAACCTATGACTTGTATGTGTTAAAAGTGTAGAGGGAATAAGCAATACAAAAAGCAGAGTAATTGGGGTTTAGGAAGGCAGAGGGAGAAAAGTCCGCATACATTTTCCTATTGGCATGGGGTGCTGGAGGCATCCCAACTTGAAGGCAGGCCAGAGACAAGGTGGAGAAGCAGGATTGCGTAGAGGAGCAGGATCCAACCCCTGGGAAGGCTGTCTGCAAAGGGTGTAGGGTGACCCCTTGGATTAGTGAGCTTAATTAAAACTGAAAAAAGTGCAAGTGGAATCTTAAATTGAATTTGAAAAGGCAATTAAGGAAGCACTAGGCTTTTCAGTATGGGAGTATGTTATTCTATTAATTTTTTTCATCTCGAATCATTCCCATATCACCTAACCATATCCTGTTACTATGTCATTTAAAAAAAAATAGGGTGAGCTCAATTGCTGATTGTTTAGACACATTTCACCTTACACGATCTGTTCCACATATAAAAGAAGCCTCATTTGAACTGTTACAATAATTACTAGATCTCTTAGAATTATGTGTAACAGAATTTTCATTTCCTATTACTCAGAAAAAGTAAGAACATAAAATGACAGCCCAATTATTTCCTCCCTTACTGGGAAGGAACCTCCTAAAAAGCCCAAGCAGCTCATTAGCCCTTCACACAGGCTAGAGAAGCGTTTGTTCAGGCTCCTGCCTGAGCAGAAGCAGTGATATGAGTAGCTGTGATATGAGCAGCTGTGATAAGAGCCGCAAGATCCCCAGGGAAATCCAGAGGCTACAGAAACCTTCTCAATGATATGCTTCTCCCATTTTGGAAAGCGTTTGTTTCCCATAGGGTAGTGTCTAGTGATAGTAGCACTATGAGGTTTGTTTAGACTGTAGGAAGGAAGCTGGGTGGCTCCTGGACAGAGAGGGTGGCAGAACAGGGAAGATGTGATACTGCAGGTGCAGACACCGGGGTCTGACTTTCTCAGCTCCTCCTTACGAAGGAGTGCAGCAGGAGGGCAAAGGTTCCAAGCCACTACTCACCGTATGCCTGGAGAACCTAGACACCTTGATCATCGAAACCTCTTCTGTACATTGCCACCATCTTCTTACCTATTCAATTTACTTTCTTTCTGGGAACCCCTCCTCTCAACCATGCTGCAGTTAACCTAATGCCAGTATCACTTAACACACTAGAAAACTAGCTAATTTCTTTGCTAATCAGTAAGCTATTAGTGAGTTAACTTGTTGGCCAAGTATTTCTTTACAAATGTGAGTCAGATCCTTAAAATCTTGCTTCTCTTGCCTTTCACATCTCCTGCCTATAATCACACACAGGGTGAGAAGCTCTTTAATTTTCACCATAAGACTGTAGCAACAACCGTTGTGCCAATCACCTGGAAAACCTAAAACAGGTATTTGAGGTCTAAAGGAATCAGGGGTAGGATCTCTTTCCAATAAGACATTCCATTCCTGTTTTTGCTAAACAAGAAGTAAAGAATGGAGGTAATGAGAGAAGGAAGAAGGGAGGAAAGGAGGGAGGGAGAAAGAAGAAAGGAAAGATAAGGAAGGAAGGAAGGAAGGAAGGAAGGAAGGAAGGAAGGAAGGAAG